ACCGCGCCAGAATTTCCCGTTTTTCCCTTCCCCCTTGTGCCTCCCCCTATAAAAGTTCTAAACTTCTTGGGGTCTTCATCGAAATTCTCTCCCCTGCGTGGGATGAGTTTCGATCCAAGGTCCCTTGTTAGTAAACTGCCTTTTGCCATTGCATCAAGTCAGTCTCTCATGTCTCCTTGGGTGCGCGCTGATTGGGACTTGAGATGGGGTCCTCTTTCTGGGTCCTTACAACTCAAGTAGCCAAGGCTACTTAAATAATAAAGAATGTTGGTTTTTTGTTTTTTTGTTTTTTGTTTTTTTGTTTTTGATTCGGGGACAGGGGTTTCGAGAAAGAAAGAAACATCAAACAAATAAGATCCAAAGGGGGATATGCACTCACTTTAACTCCAAAACCAAAAAGTACCTTGGTGAAAAAAAAAACTAGAAGATGAAAACATCTCCTGTGCTCATGGGTGGGCTGAATCAGCACATGGAAAAGGCTGCATTGCTGAAAGAAATGTATAGAGTCAACACAGTTTCCATCAAATATATAGTGACATTCTATTAGAAATAGTAATTCAAAAATTCATATGTAAGCACAAAAAATGCCCAAACACCTCTTTTTTGAGATTTATTTTTTATTTATTTTATGTATATGAGTACACTGTAGCTTTCTTCAGACACACCAGAAGGAGGCATCCAATCCCATTACAGATGATTGTGAGCCACCATGTAGTTTCTGGGAATTGAACCAGGACCTCTAGAATAGCAATCAGTGCTCTTAACCTCCAGGGCCTTCTCTCCAGCCCTAGCTCAAGGAATTCTTAGCAGTGCTGGGTGAATGACAGGACTGCATACTCAGCTTCAGTTCTGAGCCACTGTAACAAGCCTCATAGACCAATGGTGTGGATGGAGGACCCAGCAGTACACACAAAGTGACATACACATCATTTTTGATAAAACTTCCAAAAACATATACTGGGGGGAGGGAAGACAGCCCCTCTAACAAAGCACCTTTAAAATGAATCAAAGACCACAGTGTAAGGCTTGAAGCTTTGAAAATCTGAGACAAAGACAGGTCAAGACACAGGCAGAGACAAGGATTTTCTGACAGGACTCCCACAGCACAGGGGACAACCCCAAGACTGGACAAATTACATACAACTAAAATACTTCTTTGTCTATAGCAAAAGGAAGAATCACACGAGTGGAGACATGATTTACACAACGGGAAGATGTGTTTACCTACTGCACATCAGCCTGCAGATTAAAGAGCTGCAAATTTTATGCTACAAACTATCAAATCATCCAATCAATAAATGAGCTACTGGGGTGGACAGATGGACAGATGGTGGAGAGATGGGAGATGATGGAGAGTAAATGTAAGGTATGAACATTGGAGAGAGTGAAAAACTTAGGCAATACAAAAAATGATGTAAGGTGTACGGGAGAAATGTTTCTGATTCTGATCCCTCACTATGTTACTGTTGTATTAAGCTTTGAAAGTTCAAAATTTTGCTATTAACCAATAGAGTTATGGTACACTATTAGTTGAACTCTGATAAAGCCTTCCAATGTGTGATCCACTATTATCGTAGTCACAAGCTCAAGATATTAAATTTCCTCTTGTTGTTTTCTAAATATAGACTTAAAAGTGTTTCTCATTAAAAAGGTCTGTCTAAATCTATGTGCATCCAGCCTTCTGGATAGAGGAAAGAAGTCCCTCTTTCACAATCTCTAATCATACTGCAAATCAGGATCTAGGGAGCTCTTGCTGACTCACTCCACAAAATGTCTAAAGAACCTGCCCATGGGCAGGAGAGATAATTCAGCGGTTAGGAGCACTGTCTGCTCTTCCAGAGGTCCTGAGTTCAATTCCCAGCAACCACATGGTGGCTCACAACCATCTGTAATTGGGATCTGATGCCCTCTTCTGGCTTGTCTGAAGACAGTGACAGTGTACTCATACACATAAAATAAATAAATTTTTAAAAAAAGAAAATAGAAGTCTGCCCATACAACCAGTAACATCTGCATTCCACACTTCCTGGTAGCCTTTGCTCTTCACACAAGTCTAGCCAATTCATAGGACAGAAGATATTAATCTATTTTTCTTCTAGCACAATCCCTTCCCCTCTTCTTCCAAAAATGGGATTGTTGAAGTCTCTGGGATGACAGTCAAGCAATTCCTTCTGCACCCATCCATACCTTCCCAGCTCGAACCCAGCAACTCCTCACCCTCCCACCTCATGCCATTCCTCTTCAGCAGGAAGTAGCCAGATCTGAATGGGATCCTCTGGACATAAAGAGGTTGGCATGTTAGGCTGGAACCCCTGCTCATCTCCGGAACAAGCCGGGAGACCCCTTCTGAATCTCCTTCCCCCAACTCTGCCTGCTCTTAGAAAACTCTGGAGTGACTTGTCATCACTTCTCATCTCGGAGTTTCCAGCCAGGGGCTCAGTTTTTGACCATGGATGGACACAGTCCCAGCTCCTAGATCACGTGTCATCACTCCACTTCCTAGAACCACAAAACCTTCTTGCTTTAGCCTGGATGTGCAACTTCCCTGATCTCCACGTGTGACATCAGAGAATCCACCTGAGAGCTGCCTCCTAAGAAACCTGCCATATCTACTTTTAATCTGGTCTAATCTGGCCTATGTTTACATCACTGAGAAAGAAAGCACCTATCAGGAAGAAGCTGTTGCTACTTCCACCTCTCAGCAAGCTAAGGCTGAGCTGCACTATGGAGGTGGTGTGGTCCCCAACGAGTATCACTTCTTCTAGCTGTGCACCTCCAAGAGGTGATCATAACCCCTTGGCCACATCAGTTAGAAACATCTTCTCCATAGACACAGAGCCCAGGAAGTCTCCCATGCCAGGAGACTTTTTGATTCCCAGAATCTGCCTGTCTGTAGGTCATAGGAGTGAGGTGATAGCCATCATATCCATCTTAATTCTGTGTGGGCAAACCCCACCCTTCCCCCATCCTACTGATGAAACATTATCCCTCAGAAACGCAGCACTATGCTTTTGTTTGTACATTTATTGAATTTTCCCAACTCCTGGGTGTCATTGCATTCTAACCCTGTGACTGAGTTGGTACTTGGATTTCCTAGAGGCTGGGCTTGGCAAGATTCTGCCCTGGCTGGATGGTAGGACATGGCGATGTTGCTGGAAGGGAGGCCTGCAGGCTAATGAGGTTTCTGGCCTAGACTTGACAATAGGGCCAATGAGGCATAGAGAGCACATGTGGGGCCCTGAGAAATTGGTTCCCAGTGCACCTGGGGGGTTCCACCTGCAGCCTTAGGCCACATTCTTCTAGCAAGATCCATGTGGGAGCCTCCTCATCCCAGCTGTCCCCAAGGAGCCTGGAGGGCAGGGACACAGACCTCTGCTCCTGCCATGGGGAGCTCTGTTCCAAGACATGCTCCACCTACCAACAGAGGAGGGTAAGAGGTTATAGATGATGCCTGTAGTTTGAGCCTGATGGAAGCAGCACTTTCCCATGACAACCTCGGTGTCCCCAGGGCCCCATTTGACCCCTAAGGCTAGGTTCTCTCACCAACTCCAGCTGTTTTGACAGTACTGTTGTCTCCAGAGCCTTAGCCAGCAGCAGCTGCTGTGTTTCATTCAGCACTGGGGAGACATCTGGGCTGAGAGAGGGTTCCAGAATGCCCCATATAGAACCTAGTCCTCCCTTCCTGTCCCCTACTAATGCCTCCTTGGGCTGCTCACCATTCAGTGCTCCCAACAGGTAGAAGATAGGGGCTGCGAGTTCCAGCACCAGCTCTCCAGAATTGAGCACCAGACACTCAAGGATGCAGCCTGCTGGGCCGTCCAGTGGCTCCACCTTCCCTCCACTGCACAGGCCCTGCCCTAGCTGAGGTAGGGATGGAGTAAGTGAGGCTGAGCAGGTTTGTCAAGACCCTGTCCACCACCAGCACTCTCACTCACTGAGGCCTCTAAGGCTTCCAGGCTGAGCTGGTCCTGTAGAATCCTCCCGATGTCCACTAGCAGCTGTTGTCTCAACTCCATTTCTAAGTTCCCCAGTTCTGAGGAGCCAGCCTTCACCTCTGCACACAGGCTTTGGAAGTGTTTCCTGAATTCTTCTTCCTCAGGGGTTTTATCTGGAGGGACAGAGTGGAGTACCACATGATGTCCATGAGGTCTTAGGGAACATTAGTTATGAGGGGTAGGTCCAGGGAGCAGATGCAGAAGCTGTGGAGTTCCATGGTGGTGAAGGGGTTACTGACCTGACATGAATTTGTGCTTCACACCGACAGAGTGTATTGCACTGAAACCTAACGTGCATTTGATCATTTCACTGTGTTGGAGGCTGGGTCTGCAGATCGTTCGGGGACGTTGGTGTAGTGCAGCAAGCAGATTAAATCTATGGTGATTCTGGTCTACTCCTCTTCTGTGGCCTAGGCAACAAATCCGGATGGTGCAAGGGGAAAAATAGTTTTGATTAGTGACTCAGGGACCATTGTCTCATGTCTTAGAGGGCTGAGATTTTTCCCTGGACCCTCCCAGACCCATCCCTCCTACTAATGGCAGCCCAGGGCAGATGGAAAGCTAAGCAGGCCCAGCAACATCACCTGAGTTGAGCCTCACCCATTGTGTATATATGTGTATGTGTGGTGTGTGCCCACTTCATGCCCTGAGCACAGAACACCTCAAAGCTAAGGGGCATGTAAGGCCATAGGGTCTGGCTCCTTACCTGAGGAGGGCTCAAAGGTCCTCTGTTTCTCATCCGAGATGAGAAGGATATCTGGCAGCAGGTAGAAGCAAGCAGGTCATCAACTCCCATATCCCCAGGGCTCCTGGGACCTCATGAGACCCTGCCCCTATGACCCACATCTCAGTTCCTGACACACTTTACCATCCTGTCTGGGAGATCATGCAGCCAGATACCCACAGCATCCCCTGGCTAGCTGAAGTGCTTCTCTGCCACAGAGTCTGGACTCGAGAGACAGTCTCTTGCCACTCACCCCATGAAGAGCCAATGAGCAGTTTGGCCACTTGGAATGCAAGGACGCTGCCTGGAGGAAAGCTCACCATCTTCTTCCGGCTTTGGTGGCCCTTGCCTTCACCCTGAAGGATGGATATGGGCTCAGGGGTGTAGATTGAATAGCTATGAGTGGAGTGTTGGTGACAGGCTTGTCATTATTAATGGCAGAACCAGCCTTTAGCAGATCCAGCTAACTGGGCAAGTGGGGCTATGGCTTGCTTCTGGAGGGGTCTTAGAAGAGTCTTGCATAACTACCTGGGATGTTGCCCCTGGCTTCTAAGCTTCCTGCTGTGTGCCCAAGTAGGACTAGGTTGGTGTTAGAGTTAGCATCACATACCTGGAAGCATGAGGCTCCAGGCAATGTAAACTGGCCTGAGCCCTCCTTGCTGTGGGTCTGGGTGATCTGCCCCTTCTCCTTTGTCTGCAGCACCTCGGTGATGACAAACACGTCATCCCCACGCCTCCGAAGCTGTTGCAGGATTGTATTCTCAGGCTGCTGCAGGTGCCTACAGAAAGATTGCCAGGGCTTGCCCACCATGGACTAGCCTCTCTCTACAATCCTCGTGACAGGTGAGATGGAAAGGCTAGGGAGTCCACGAGTCTGTGGATACCAGGCTTGGGAATACTTCCACAGTGTTCCCAACTGTGTCTAGGTGCTTGTGAGGGTAATGACAAATGCAAACACAGAGAAGTGGACGCCTGTGCCTGTGGAGGGACTCCATTATGTATGATCCATCAGTGTTCCAAGTCCACATCACCCCTTTCCATAGCAACCAGGAGCTCAGCCTGATTCCAAGGGACTCGGGCCCTTCCTTGATATCCTGATCTTCAGGATAGAGTCCTGGTATCCAAGGTTTAACATCCCTCCCCACCTGACATTGTTTGTACTGTTCCCTTCCTCTTGGGCTTCCCTTGTTCAGTGCTGAGAGATACTGCCTCAGCTTCTGATGCCCAGAACCTAGCAACCTTCCCAAGAAGCATGGCTGCTCAAGGTAAGAGAGCTGTCATCCCTTCAGGGGCTCACTTTTCACTCTTCATGATCTCCCAGGTATTCGGTTTCACTCGCAGTATACACATACTCATGGAGGCACTGGAACTGTCAGACACTCCAGCCCCACCAGAAATTCTCCCTTCTCCAGTGGGTGACCTCACTGCCACACTGCCCTGAATGTTCCCATCGACGACGTCTGAGACTTCCAAGGGGCCAAAATACTCTGGTGCTAAAACAAGACCAGCTCTACTGTCCTATTCCAATAGCCACTGCCTTCTCTTTCCTCTGTAGCAATGGGGCCTTTAAAGAACTCCTCAGTCGGGAAATAGGGCCAGAGGAGTAGAGCTGAACGTGGCCAGTAGGATGGCAGGCTGGGCTTCACCTAAACCCTTTTTCTATTAAATCTGGGGACTCAGGATGGGGAAGAAGGGAGCTAATAAAGGAGATACCTGGTTCTGGAGCAATGGGTTCCAGGATGTCCTTGATTGACAGATTGACAAATGTATAATGGGGTTTCCAGAACCATGAACTTGAGATTCTCCTGCTCAGGAGGTTGTAGGGCTTGAAGCTGATTGAATTCCGAAGGCAGTCCACTGGGATGAGATCTCCTCTGCCATGGTCCACCTCCTGGATCACACTCTTGACCTTTCTCTCAAAGGCTGATGGCATGATCCTGGGTCTGGATGGCAGAGGTCCATACTTAGTTGCCCCCAGCACTCAGGAAGCCCATCTCTTCAGAGTAGCCTTGCCTTGTTAGTCCTGGCACATCCTGCCTCACCAACACAACACAGAGGACACTGTTCACTCTGTGGCTCATTTATCTGTCTCTCCCTGGGGTCTCTGAGACTTGACTCTTGAGGAGGAGGAGGAGGTAGCCTGTGGCAGCAGGTCCTGCACTATCCACACCACTAATTTCTGTGTGTCACCCTTGGCCACCTGCTGATGTCTAAGATACTCTGTCTTGCTCCTTGGCTGAGGGCCAACAGTGGGAAAAGAACAGGAGCCCCCACTTCTAAGGGACTCGGCACAGGAGCCCACAGCAAAGCCAGTGTCCCATGGTTCCAGAAGTCGGTGGTTTTCTCCAGGGCTGTCATGTACAGCTGAGTTACCTGACCTAGTTGAACCTTCATGGGTCAGAGGCCAAAATAGGCCTGAGATAGACAACCTGTGCAGTGTGGAGCAACAGATTACACCCATGTGAAACTGGGTCTCTGGGCTAATGGTGGAGAGTGAGGCAAGAAGGTCCTTGAGGACCAGGGAGTGACTTGTGGGCCAGGGAATCAGCATTCAGTCCACAATCCTAGAGAGTGCCCCATCCCCCTCTCTATCTATCTCCCCTCCTCCTGCATGCTCCTCCTGCCACCATCAACCCCAAACCAGGATGTTCCCACTATATTGCTCGTTGGTGGCCTCCATAGATGCTATGCCCTAGATGCTAGGGTCTCTTCAATCTGTCTGGTATAGTGGGGCTTCTGGAAGGCTGAATCCCCAACTTAACAAGCAGGCATCCAGGCCATAGAGTAGAGACCACATCAGAGTAGGGGCTGCTGGGCTCTGGGAGGGGCTGAGTAGCAGGGTGGCTCACCTGGGTCTTCACCTCTATTGAGGTATTTGGGATCAACAAGCTAAGCAAAGACGTGCTGGGGTGCTGGGGAGGGGTCTCTTGTCTGTTCAACCCGTGAGCAATTGGAGCCACCAGTAAGTATGCTTCTGGAGGCGTCAGGACACAAAAGTGAAACCTTGAAGCTGGAGCCAGAGGCATTTAAGGAGCCCTTCTTCCTGGAACAGCAGGGCGAGGCCTGCTCTAGCCTCCTCCTCTTTCCTGAGCTTGCCTGGGCTTTTAGAAGCCCCTGAGATTCTGCATGTATGCATGTGCACCATATGTGGCTGCCAGCAACTGAGTCCTGGTCCTCTGAAAGAGCAGCAAGTGCTCTTAACCCCTGAACCATCTCTCCAGGACTCTGTGGTAACATTTTATAGAGTCAAGCAGATAATGGTTAAGTGACCTGAATGTCCATCAACTCATACATAGATTTTAAAAAATAGTAAATGTGTACAGTATTTTTCCCAGTTCTGGCCCCTGTACACACCAGGCAAGAAAGTGTCTTATAACTAAGCTCTGTCATCAACCCACAGTAGGGTGCTTGCATGGCAACTGGGAGGCATGAATACACTTCTAAGCTACATTACAGAATGTGGATGAACTCTGAAAACATGGCCACAAGCAGAAGAAGGCAGACCACAACTATACCAAACTAATCAAACCAACCAACCAACCAACCAACCAACCAACCAACCAACCAACCAACTAATGAACAAATCAACCTAACACTCACCACATTACTGTGCAAGTTATTCTGTATGAAATCCCCAAAATAACCCGATCTGTTAGTTGTTGCCAGTGACTAAGAGATGAATAAATACAGGGAAACTCCTCATGGTTTTGGAGTGTTTTTTCCCCCTGTGGTGTGGGCAATAGTCACACAGGTTTATTTATCTGTGCATTTGTTTATTTAATTGATCTTTGAGACAGGGACTCTTTATGTATCTCCTGCTGGACTGGAGCTCACAAGATAAACAAGACTGGCTTGAGACTCACAGAGATTCACCTGCCTCTGCCTCCTGAACGCTGGGCTTAAAGACATGAACCACCTTGCTGTTAGTATTCTAAACTCCACCCCCACAGTTACCTGGCAGCAGCCGGGTATGCTCCTCCCCACAGTTACCTGGCAACTGGCAGGTAGACCTGCCCACTATAAAAGGGGCTGCTTGCCCCCTCCTCTTTCTCTTGCTTCCTTGGCTCCGCACCTGCAGGCTCTCCTCTGCCCCCTCTTCCTTCCCTTCCCCCTCTTTCTACATGTTCATCACTGGCCTGTACTTTTCTACCTCTCTGCTCTCTGTCTCTCTCTTAATAACCCCCCCTTCGTGGAACCTTCTGGTCTGCTGTGGTCTGTTCCAAGCTGTGTGCAAAATACCTTTCATTGATACTGAAACCTGTTCTCAAAAATCTTTTCATTGGTGCTGAAACCCGGGATACAAAGACTTCGGGACCGAGACCTGTGCAGCCGCTGGGTCCTGTGACCGTGTAGGATGGACACAATGCCACTGCTACACCATGGTGTAACTGCTCACATGGTCCCAGGAAAGATTTCTTGAGCTAGAAGTGAACCCTGTCCTTCCCTGAACCTCATTCTAGGACGGCTCCCCTTGGATGAGACATTTCCCCTCTCCTCTCCAGACAGTTTTTTTTTTTTTTTTTTTTTTTTTTTTTTTTTTTTTTGCCACTGAGTACCCCAGGAGAGGCTTGGACAGACTGTTTTCTCTCAGGAGCACCAGCTCTGATTGTAGTCCCCAGGTGTCTCTTCCAAGGGCCAGCCTTTCGAGGCCTTCACCTTTGTCATTTGCAGCCACCTGGACACACTCAGTTCTGTCGGTTTGCCTGAAGAGCCAGTGGTTCAATACCCGGCTCACTTCTTCCCCCTTCGCCTCTGTGGCCATCTGCCAGTTTGCTTGCTCCCTTCCTTCTGTGGTTCTTAGCTCTGCTCTGGGTCTTCCCCTTGCATCCTGCTGCCTGGGACCTATAAAGTGAGTGTTAGCAGCCTTCTACCACAAAAACTAACTTTGTCGTGATACGGGACATGCTTACTTTTCCTAACTGCAGCCGCCAGAGTCACTGGGCAGCAACTTCCAGCAGCTAACAGGAAGTCCCTCCCTGCTGCCGTGGCTGCGCAACCTGCCAGCCATACGATTCAGCTTTCTTAGCCAAAATGTTTCTGTGCTAATACAGAAATGTACTTTTCTCTTCCTATGCAACCTGCCTGTTACTTAAGACTCTTTCCTAACCTGCCTCGATAAATTTTTATTCAGTTACAACCAATCCTTATGGCTCTCAATCTTGTCAGAAGTCTGCTAACAGTATATTAAGTTTATGGGTGACAGAATGCCCAAAGCCTCTTACAGTTAGCCCAAGATGTTTTCAGAAGAATTGTACACCAGACTCCTAGAACATACAGCCTGGGTTGTATGTGAACAAACGCAATGGGACGCCCTGAGTCAAATGACTTGGTTAAATCAAGATAAGTCATTTCTCTCGTCATGAGTATCCATTCCACAGAAAAAAGCCCTGCGTTTTCTGTGCTTGGAAGCCAAACTGACTTCACCCAAGAGACTATGGAAACCATGGGAACTGTTGGCTAGTGGACTCTGTCATTTTTTAAAAATAATATATAACTGGTAGATTATTGTTTACTCTTTATCAGACTTCTGACTACATTGACAGCTAAGCTTTCACAGATATTATCTGTTATTTCATTACCTAAACTCAGCTGCCATCAATCAAATGTTCCATATTTCCTCTTCTTATTATCCCACTGTCCTAAATTATCTGAGTTCCTATAAACTTGCCTAACTCTAATGAAACATTCCACTATATGATCCAACAAAGGTTCATCTTAAAGACTGATCATGTCAACTCATGCTGTTATCTCTTTTGTAAACTTATAAGCTACAGGAAACCCACTCAGATCTACCTCTCATGGACCAAATAGATGCCATCCAGATAAGTACATCTGCCTAAAAGTTCCCACTTACTACCCATAACAAAGGGTGGGATCCCTCTGGGCTTCAAATGTACACCTTAGAAAATTTTCTGTCTCCCAAATGTTCTTAATCTTATTCCTTACATCTTGTCAAATCCAGGTGCATCCAGAACAGCTCCAGAGAGGCAACCTCCAGATGCTCCATCTCCTGTCACACACACAGCTGCTTCTACTGAACCTGTTCCTTCTGACCTATCCTCAAATGGCTCCATAGACCCTGGACAGCAGGAAACAGCCAGCTCTCCTAAGACCAGACAAACATTCCCCATACCCATTCTTCTAGGTTCCCCCTAAAGACACGTCACCCCCAATGCCAGCAGGAAGTAGCCAGATTTCACGGTGACCCTAGTCCTGCTTCACTGTCACCTCTTTTTAATTTTTCCTTTTTAACTAAACCAAAATGGGGGGATGTTAGTATTCTGTCTAAACTCCACCTCCACAGTTACCTGGCAGCAGCCGTGTATGCTCCTCCCCACAATTACCTGGCAACGGACAGGTAGACTTGCCCACTATAAAAGGGGCTCCTTGCCCCCTCCTCTTTCTCTTGCCTCTCTTGCTCCCTTGGCCCCACTCCTGCAGGCTCTCCTCTGCCCCTCTCCCTCCCTTCCCCCTCTCTCTACATGCTCATTGCTGGCCTCTACTCTTCTACCTCCTGCTCTCTATCTCTCTCTTAATAAACCCCCCTTTGTGGAACCTTCTGGTCTGCTGTGATCTGTTCCAAGCTGCACGCGAAAAAAACCTTTCACTTGCCTATACATGTCTGAATATACTAGACTCCCAGAATTATGCATGTGTAAATGGCTGGAGTGTATGTCATATGAATTGCTTCTCAATTGAGGCATTTATTTTAAAACCTCTGGACTCCCAGGGGGCTGTAGAGATGGCCTAGTAGTTAAGAGCATGTACACTATTACAGAGGATTCAAGTTCTGTTCCTAGCACTCACATGGTAGCTAGTAACTAAGTTCCAGAGCATCCAGTGTGTTCTTTTGCCCTTCATGGGCACTACACACACATGGTACACAGACACACAAGAAGACAAAGCATAAAAGAAAAATAAAGACAGAAATGT